AATGCAACTTTTTTATGTGGTTCTCTGGGTTTCATTTGAACTCAGGTCATTAGACTTTCAAAGCAAGTGCTTTTGCCAACTGAGTTATACATGCCCACCTCCCACCCCCCTTTAAGGGAGGAAGTCTCTGTTGACTAGCCTCAAATCACCTTCCTGCTGTAGCTTCCTCAGTATTTGGGACTACAGTATTTTTCTTTTTCTTGTTGCTGGGACTAATTCGGCTTTATAACACACCATGCAGTGGAGTTTACCACTTCAACCAAATCATCACCCTATTTTATTTAGTTTTTGAGACAGGGTCTCATTCTGAAGCCCTCATTGTCTCCTGGAACTCAGATCCACTTACTTCTGCCTCCTGAGTTCTGGGATTAAAGGCATATGCTACCATGCCCAAAACTCATCATCCTATTTTATATACAAGAAAATTAAGGTGCAGTATCTTATCTTATTTTGTGATGCTTGGGAATCAAACTCAGGGTCTGCTACATGTTAAACATGTGCTCTACCACTAAACTATCTTTTGAGCTCAGATAGGCATTTTATTTTTGTGTTGATGGACTCCAAACTCCAGCTTTGAACATGCTAGGCAAGGTTTTTTTTTTTTTTTTTTTTTTTTTCTGAGACAGGGTTTCTCTGTGGCTTTGGAGGCTGTCCTAGAACTAGCTCTTGTAGACCAGGCTGGTCTTGAACTCACAGAGATCCACCTGCCACTGCCTCCCAAGTGCTGGGACTAAAGGCCCGGGCCACCAACGCCTGGCTAGGCAAGTGTTTTAACTACTGAGTTCCACCCCAACCCCAGGTGGGTATTTAAATGATTTCCATGTAGATAGTATTCTATCCTTTTGAAGCTGCTTAGCCATTGGTCCTGTAAGTAGGTGGTAAGTGCCAAATGGAGCATCAAAAGGGAATGGATACTTAGCTGTTTACCCCACACATATGTGAGTCTGTGGAAGACAGGGATGCATCATATGCAGCATCACTGCCTCTCTCTGTGCCTGAAACATAACAAATGTCCTATTCTGGGAAGGCTTTGGAATCTTGAGTCATAGTAGGTGTCATTTTGGATAACTATTTTGCTATTTTTATGCTTCATAAAATAAGTGCCTTGAGTATTTATGACTTTGCTTGGCTTTTCCAGAATGAATATAATCACCAGTTCTGGACTAACCATACAGCAGTCATCAGGGACAAACACATCTCATTTAATCTAAAACTCTGTGGTTATTAAAATTAGTTTGTAGATGATGAAACAGATTCAGAGAGATTAATTCACCGGAGTTTGCACAGCTAGTGAACATTAGTGCTAAAATTTAATGTCAGTCACTCTGGCCCCACTCAAAAGCTTTACCACTCAAAAGTGCCTACATGTCACCTTTTTCTAGAAAACCACAAGAAAAGATCAACTTCTAGTTATGTCAAGTGACTTAGTTCTAAGTGAGAAGACAGACTGCAGTGACAATCAATATTTGGTATTTTGAACTTCAACTGTGGTTTTTTGTTTTGTTTTGGTTTTGTCTCTCTATAGTTCTGACTGTCCTGGAACTTGATATGTAGGCAAGGCTGGCCTTGAACTCTTATACTTCTACCTGCCTCTGCCTCCTAAGTGCTTGGATTAAAGGTATACCACTAGGCCTGGCGATGTTTTAGTTTTTGTCTTCGTATTATAATGTAAATTCGAAATGGAGAATTTTGTTTTGAACAAAATAGCTATAGCATCAGTGCCTGAAACAGGTAGTAAGTAACTGAAAAGGTTGTATTGATGAATGGAGAAGGTATAAGTTACACTAATTGCTCACAAACTTTGTTTCTTTTAATATTACATATCTAATTCTGCTATGGAACAAGAAACTATGTTTGATTTTAACAGCTTCTGATGAAAATGCGCTGAAATAAAAAAAATAAATTAATTAATTTTAAAAAAAGAAAATGCACTGAAATCCATCCTGTTGGGAAGTGCATTAGGTCTGCCCAGAATCATCAACCTTTCTCACACTTGGAAGAAGGTTTGACTTTTGAAACAACATGGTACAAATTACAGATAGATTTCAGGATTGGTCACAGCTTAGAAACCAACCTATACCAAGGGAAAGCATGTTTGATGGTGGTTTTCCAGGACAGCCAGGGCTACACCGAGAAACCCTGTTCCAAAAAAGCAAACAAACAAAAACACACACCCCCAAACCCCAAAGTAAACTCTAATCTGATAGCAAGAAGGCATTGGGAGAAGTGTAGTGCAGGAGCCAGCAAGATGGCATGGCAGTTAAAAGCACGTACTCTGTCTGTGTGACAACCCAAGTTTCACACATACGCACACAGGTTCAGTGCTTGTGCGAGTGCGAGTGCGCGCGCGCGCACACACACACACACACACACACACACACACACACACACAAAGATATAGTGACTTTCTCAGCATTTCTATAGTAAGATGGGAGTTAGAGACAGGGCAATCTTTCAGAGGCAGTGAGTGCCATAAATGAGAGATCCTACCTCAAAAACCAGGTGGAGAGGTTGGAAAGATGGTTCATCAGTTAAAGAGAGCTTGCTGCTCTTGCAGAGGACCCAAGTTTGGTTCCCAGCACCCATGTTTAGGTGGCTCACAAAACACCTATAACTCTAGCTCCAAGGGATCCAATATCTCTGGCCTCCATAGTCATTCACATTCATGTGTACATACTCACAGGCATATAATAATTAAAAATAAATCTTTTTTTTGTTTTTTGTTTTTTTGAGACAGGGCTTCTCTGTGTAGCTTTTGGAGCCTGTCCTGGAACTAGCTCTTGTAGACGAGGCTGGTCTTGAATTCACAGAGATCCGCCTGCCTTTGCCTCCCAAGAGCTGGGATTAAAGGCGTGTGCCACCAACGCCCGACTGAAAATAAATCTTAAAAAAGTAGGAATCAACTTCTGAAAAGTTGTCCTCTGACTTCTACATGTGCACTGTGTCATGAGAGAAATTGAAAAGGACTCCCTACTTTCTCTTTCAGCTTCCATGTGGTACACATGTGTGCAGAACACACACACACACACACACACACACACACACACACACACACATACACACACTCATAAAAAGAAAAATATAGTTTAGGAAAGGGAAATGGAGAATGATAGTAGGAGGTGCGGGTGATTTTAAATTCTTCCACAATAAAGTTTGCAATTGTGACCAGCCATTGACCTTTGGCTCTTCTATTCTAGCATGTAACATAATGGATTGTGTCATGTCCTGTAGGTCCTGTCCTGTCTTCTGAATTAATTTCTTCCCCTGATGCTTACTTCTAGTTTCTTGCTGGACAAGGTTGGCCTATGCCGTGTGACTTTTTCTTGGGAGATGGAAAGAAAGGCCTATTCATCCTTCAGGGAAGGGCACTGACAGACCAAGGAAAGAATTCCACCCAAGTCTAGCTTAGTGAAGCACTGAGTTTATTAGGGTTACTTATAGGTGTATGGATGACTCAATGGCAGTTACATCACCAGGAAGTTCCTTGGGCAATTTATTGGCAACTATACAAATTAAGAGTCTCACCTGCAGCATTGAGTAGTTCTTTGGGCCACTTATGGGCAGCTGTGATAATAGAAGAGTCCCTCTTTCTGGTCAGATTCCCACCTCCTATACAAGCCCGGGAGCAGTGGGTCTCTGAGGAGCTCATGAAGTCTCCTGAATATGTGCCTCCCCCTCATGAGGCTGTATTAATAGTCCTGGTTTCATGAGAGTCTCCTGTGGGTGATCACAGCTGCTGATTCAAGACAGCAATGGTCATATTCATCTTAAAAGAAACAACTACACAACAGCCTAGAAGATCTAATCTAGGTTTAAATCTAAAAGCTGGAAGAGAGTATCCCAACAGTCTTGAGAGTTGGTAGTATGTGGGGGGATCAGAAAGGGGCAGTGCTGACGAAGTGTAAACAGGACTTCTTTAGGTGAGCTAAAGTAGCATTTGCTTCATTACCTCTGGCTTAATCACTTAGGAGTAATGATGGCTGAAAGGCTTGGCAGGGTCTGGAGGTAGTTGGCGGAAGCTGTGGGTAGGCAGAAGGAAGAAAGCAGAAACATTTGCTGAATGAGAGAGACAATAGTGAGGATAGGTGGTGGTGACTGGGGAGAAGATGGATAGCTACCTCCGTCTGTTAGGATTTGTTAGAACTCGAAAACAGTATTCAGTTGAGGCAAATTGTATTTTCCACAATCATATGTCAAGTGTGGATAAAAGCATTTCCCAACAACTTCGTTTTGTAAGACAACTTTTAAACAAGGTCCTATAAGCCTAAAATTCATAAAAGGTGAGTTATGGCTTAGAATAGATAAACTCCAGTAGCGGCCACGCTAAAGGGTGTGTGTGTGTTTGGACACGAACTCATGTAGTCCAGGCAAGTACCTGATCCTCCTCTCCTGGTCTCCTGAGTACTGAGATTACCACACGGAGCCTAATTTAGTAAGGTCTTACTATTGGTGATGATTCATTTAAGACTTAGTCGAGGACAGGGATTGGGGGTGATGATGATACTGGTACTAATGAAGTCACGACGGTCTGTCCTTGTGAAGTCAAAATCATCAAAGCGTCACGTCATGCCAGGTTGTGGCTTTTCAGCCCACCACCTGTAGTCCTGGACAGCGAGTAACATCAGAGCCCATCAGACGGGCCGGGTGGGGGCTCCCGGCGGGAACCGGGCAGCCAAAGCCCGGCCCTAGTCTCGGCTTTGGGCGCCAGGCAGGGTCTCCCGAGAGCCCTCCTCATTCCCCCCCCTTTACAAGGCCTGCTGGGAGTTGTAGTTCAGCGGTAAGAGGCCCCGCCTCCTCCATTTCCTCTTCGCCCCGGATGAGGGCGAAGACTCGGGACAGCGGGGCCGGGCCCAGAGAGCACCGGACTACAATTCCCGATGGACCCGAGGTTCATGTTCGGTGTCCCAGGTATGGCGTCGTGATAGACGCTCCGGCGCACGCGCACCGAACTGTGGCGGGACTCGGCCGCGTGCGCTTTGCCGCCCTCGCCACGCCCTGCGCCGTCGGTCGGGCTTTCCCACAAGCCGTAGGCTCTGGCTCCGCGCGCTCCTCCTCCTCCTCCCCCTCCTCGGTTTCTCTGGGAGTCCAGGCCCCGCCTGTTTCCCTCCCCCAGGGCCTCCTCAGCCCGCTCCTGTCTTCTGCGCCTCTGCTGCTTCTGCCGAAGGCGGAGGATCCATGTTGTCCCCTCAGCGAACGGCAGCGGTGGCATCGAGAGGAGCAGGTGAGGCGTCCAGTTTCCCCTGGACCGGCTCCGCGGTCACGCACGCCGCCTCCCAGGGCTTCGGCTCCG